CCAAGGGGCGGTCTAAACTGCAGTCTACTCTAATTTAGAATAATTTATGAGAACCAATGAAAAAATGAGGTCTACTCATATGATTGTGGGAAACGTCAACACCAGTCTCTTTATCACCTTAAAATAAATAGCGTGAATACTCGAATTCTCAAAAATATACTTATGAAACAAAAAACTATAACATTTGTTTAGCGAGCAAGTTTTGTCACAGAAGCACTTGGCCTCAAATCAGCGCAAGAGAAGTGTAGAAAATAAATGTTAGTATATTCGAACAAAAATAGCGTTAATCTGCTTTATTCTTACACGTTTTTGTCCCAACCCATATTGACTATCATGTGATGTTTTAGGGGGAGTTTTGGCTAGTTTACCGGAAATTCCTTTTGAGACATAATCGAAACCAAAACTCTCATGAAACCACTCACAGCCTCTTGGCCGGACGAAAAGACTAGACAAGTGGGAAATTTTTGCGAACGAGCGACTAGCGCTGACGATAGAGGACCAGAAAGCAGATCTCAAACAGAATACAACTGACATTCTCTATGCCTACTCACTAAGAAATCAGGACATGATAGTAGTTGTTTGACCTCGCTTTCGCAACTTGGTCATATTTGCAAGAAGACCTTGTCTGGAGTCCATGCATGACGAGTTATCGCTTGGTACTGAGAATGGCGAAACTCATTGACGCTGCCGACGAAACGTGCGTGAATGTACAAAGTTCACGGTTCCCAATCTGGAAAGTATGATGCATACCATATACTCCTGACAAGGTGAGTTCCTCTTGGTCTTCGTGCCAATATGACGGAGTTGCGAAAACAAGGTCAAACAACTATTATACATCGAGAGGAGACTGCGACCAAAATAGAGGCCACAACATCTTGGTCTTCGCATCCACATGACACGATAGTTTGGATCAGATGGAGTACGTAATCATGAGGAAATGTACAAAGTTCTGTATACCTACCGAACATGTATGCTGATGTATAGGCATAAAGAGACAGTTCGTGGGAAATGGTCAATTGGCGAGGAATAGAGGGGGTACGTCTAGTTCTTTCCCGTACCAATTTGATACTGAAAATGTTCGCTGGTCAAGCGGAGAAGAGTCGAGTAAGCTGGGCAGATGTTTGAATTGCTCTCTTGGCCAGAATTCCCTCTGCCTGGCTGTTGCGGCCGCACAGCCGGACACGGTAGCCTCGTCGTTGTTGAGTGCTGATTCAGAGGCTTCGTTTGCTGAATGATTTCCCGCTGAGATCTCTTGCCCAACCCTTGCCTCTCTCGCAAGCAATATCTCCAAGATCTCCTCACTGTTATCACTGGCCCTATTGAAGTTGTACAAATCTCCGTTCGACCCCTGTGGTGAGTGTGGTCTTCTCGCAATAACTACATGCACTGTAAGCACTGTA